GTTTGTACCCCTGTACGTCTTAGAAAATGCCCCGAGTAATTGAAATTCGTGTAGCAGATGACCGGTTGAATCTGAGGAGGTTCAATCGATGGCCAGACTCCTCAGCCTCCTCCTCCTTGCGAATCCCTATTCTTCTCAACTGAGAGGCACTTCCAACGTTCACTGCTCATGAATGAAATGGTATCCTCTATAACACTGCAAATGCTGGATCAGTACCTTTCTACTTTGAGACCTTTCACAATGCAGTGTAAAAAAGACAAGGAACGGGGTTACTTGCCCCTCCTCTCGCCATTTATCTCCTCTTTGAGGAAAAATGGACCCCTTTGTCCAATGACGAAAGGGTAAGATGGCACAGGCGTGTTACCGGGTCTGTGGAAAGGCAAACTGGTCAGGCGCCCAGAGAGAAAGTCTGATTCTATGACGTGCGCCCGCGTGTATGCAATCTCGTTCTTGTTCAGAAAATGACACCGATCTCGAGTTATTTTGCATTGAGATTTGCGTTGAGCCCTGTAACTGCCTCCGCGTCCTGGAAGGGGGACATTCTCCGTAGGCTTTTCTTGTTCCAGAAACGAGGCTGAACCCACCTCATCACCGTTGGGTTTCTGCACAAAGGCACGAGCTGACATGTGCTTCAGGGCACTCGTGATCGTGGTGGGGTTTCGATACCCAGTGTAACACTCCAATTGCGATATAGCGGTTAGCTGGTCCTCGCTGTTGAGGAGGTTTGGTGACCTACTAAATACTTGAATCGGGGAGTATTCTATCCGTTTGGTATCCCTATCTGGAGGTTAACGTCGCTCATCATTTGATAACCACCCTTGAATGGTATCTGCTCCAAAATGAAAACGGACCAGCAGTGTCGGATCATTCTCCCAGCTTTCAATCTCCCATCTCCACCCGTCGGTCGCGTAGCTTTTAGGCTATCTAGGCTAATCACCCTGTACCGGACAGGCTTACTAGAGGCGTTCCCTTTGCAACCACCGAATAACCGTATTCCCTAAAAAGTGAAACATTCAAGACTTTAAACAACAAAAATTATTGGAGAAGGCGGAGTCGGAGGGGACCCCAAATGCAAGCTCTGACAACCCAGCCTCCCATTACCTCCGCTTGAACTCAGCCGAATTGGCTCGATAAATCAACAAAATACGTGACGCGCTCCTTTCAACAATTGTATAACATCAAAATCAGCTAGAGTCTTCGAGGTGGTCAAAAACAGTCATTTTACGGGGGATTCAGGATGGTAAAGGTTGGGTCATTTGACGACATCTGTGCGACGGCCGCGCTCGTCGTCTGTCCGCTCATCGGAGAATCACACGGCATAGAACCAGTATGCTATAGTCGAAATGTAGACATTGGAAAGACTTTGATCTTCCAACCCGGTGAGTCTATTATTTTTCTGGATTTATCTATGTGAAACGTGCGATGCTCATAGACGGCGACCTCTAGCTACCGCTTTTGTGCACATTGTAGCGATAATAATGACGGGTATAATGATAATACACATTAGGAGTAAATACACGGCTGTCGGTTAGTGTTGTTGCCAATGTTGACGTTTATAAACCACGACTGTGGCTGACCAACACAATTGATCGTTAGGACGAAAGGAGATCGTCTTATTCTTCTATCTCTATGCACTTATTGAAGCGCTTGCAATCTTCTTGGACTCTGGTATCGTCCCAACGGCTAGTGACGCTTATCCTGTGCGTATTTTGCCTCCATCATCTTCCCCCGCATTTGCGGAGAATTCCCACCGGCCATCGTCGACGTTTTTTTTATTATCTTGTGCATTGGAAATATTAGACGCTGACAAATTACAGTGGATCACTGCGGTGTACACAGGGCTGGTAGCGGCTGAATATTGTTGCCTGCTCATTAACGGGTTCGTCGGTTTTCAGTTCGCCGAGGATGGAACGCCTCTGTCGCTTTGGGTACGTTTTATTTTATTTTGTCTGTGTTGTATTGTGTCGTGACAGACGGGCTGACACTTTCCATTTTCCCGCGTGCTCGCTGACACTACTTGTGGTCGCTGTTATTGTTGTTGCTGCCGCCCTAATAGTTCCTTCGGCT